TAACTTCTGACCCTAACTGTCCCTATTTTCTAATCCTATTTCTCTAAACACTTGTGCCTCTTTTGCACTTTAAAACGGTGTGCTTCTTTTGCACTCTAAACGGTGTGCCTCTTCTGCACTTATAAACTCTGTGGCTCTGATCCATCATCTATGTTCTGTTTTTTTAGGAGGGACCCATGCTTCCCCCAAGGCCAAAAACGTCTAAACCTGACTATTGTTCTATCGCGTCCGATAGAATCGCCCGTCACGGCGGTCTGGCCACGCTGCAGTCATGCTGGGCCGAGATCTCTCTGTCTTCTATTTAAAACAATGTGCAGATTTTAGAAATGGTATCTGCTTACCTGTGTTTTGCAGTAGAGAGCCCCAAGACCCAACAGACCCAGTCTATCTATCTGAGCTCATCTTGCGTCTTCTTTCTGTATCAAATCACGTCTCGGGTCACCAAATGTAGCCAATAATTCCTTTTGACTGACGTGTCCACAATTTGATACAGAAATCAGACAAAAAGATTCTCCAAGTTTAACATCTGCATTTAATTATCTTTACAATCAGATACAGAATATTCAACAAAAGAGAGCTCTTAAAAGCTAATCCATGTCCCTCTCTGGCCCTCGTCTCATCCTGCTGTGTCTCCCCAAGCCAGAGCATATATAAAGAACAGGAAGGAGGGGAGTGTCCTATCAGCCAGCTTCCGGTCTAGGGTCCAGCCTTTTCCTCCGTCTGCCAGACTCCTGATGGAGTGAGGTTGAAAAAGTGCAGAAGTCAGCAGGCCAAGACTAGGGGGTTGAAATCCAAACAGGAGAATCCATCTGTTGTCCAGTTGCTGGCACAAGAAGACACCTAAAATAAAATAAGAAGGACTGGCCTCCCACTTAGAGGTTAGCTAGGTCAAAAAACACATGGTTTTAGAATGTCACGTATTTATAAATACAACAGTCACCAGAGGCCTAAACTACAGGGCTAATTGGTTGTGTTTCAAAAGGTTCACATACACCATAAATCAGTAGCCCATCCAAGCTCGGACCAGGCCTATTCTTGCTTAGCTTCTACAAGTGTCTCCAGCTTTAGATTAGTTCATGTGACCACAGTCCTCCCTCACTGTCCTTCAGGAGGAGGGTCTAAGGACGGTGGTGCGGTGGTCGGTTTTTTGCGTATAGGTTTCCTCCGGGTGCTCCAGTTTTCCCAACCACAGCATGTACAATAGTTCTTTTGTTGAATTTTTAACACCCAGTGATAGGGGAGTACAGTAGATACGTATACATTAGTTATGTAGAATTTACGTAGTTTATACAAATTCCTGTGGGTTGGAGATGGATGGGGGGAGTCACACAAGAATGTTAATTGTGTGTGTGTGTGTGTGTGTGTGTGTGTGTGTGTGTGTGTGTGTGTGTGTGTGTGTGTGTGTGTGTGTGTGTGTGTGTGTGTGTGTGTGTGTGTGTGTGTGTGTGTGTGTGTGTGTGTGTGTGTGTGTGTGTGTGTGTGTGTGTGTGTGTGTGTGTGTGTGTACGTATAATAGTTCTGAATGTAAGGCAAGGCAAATGTATTTATAAAGCACCATTCATACAGAAGAAACCCAGGGTGCTTAACAGGCACACAAAGAACATCGGCAAACAATAAAACATTATCGGAATAAAAACCATTAAAAATGATGAAATATAAAAAATGTAAAAATGTGATCGGTGAATGGACAGTGTTGGAGGCTTTGATGCTCCAGTGTATTTCAGTCTCACTTTCGTCATCACCGTGTGGAGAGAATTGAACAATATCTGAACATTGTGAAGTGCTTTTGGTGACTATGGACTGTAAAAATGCTCTATATAAATAAATGACTTCCTTACTCACAGTGGCAATGATCCAGCGCACGCCACATTCAGCCACATTTATGGACATTGGTCTGTGCCCCTTATGAACCAATGTCTCTCTTTCCTCTCTTGTTTAGTGCTCAACAAGAATATGTTGAGTTTATTGAATACAGATGTGCACAGTGGCCTCACAGCAAAGAAGGTCCTGTGTTTTGAATCCACCTCCAGGTCTTCCTGTGTGGAGCTTGCATATTCTGCCCGTGTCTGCTCCCGTTTCCTCCAGGTGCTCCGGTTTACCCTACCTCTAAAAACACGTACAATAGGTCTGGTTTGTGCCTCCCGTATACGTCAACCATCTCTGTGTGGAGTGAGAGACAAATAGCTACAACCTTTATAAAGTTCTTTGTGACTCTGTGTGAGTAAGGCGCTATATAAATAAACATTTTAATAGTGGGAGATGCGTTTCCCTCGTCACACGCACCTTGGTAACGTGGAGGAGACTCAGACCCACACAGCCGCCGCCCACACAGCTCCGGGAAACACACAAACTACACATTATTCTTCAAAGATTCAATAAACAATGGAACCGGATCTTTTTCCACTTTCAGGAATCATCTGTCTCCAGCTTTAGGAGGTTAGTGACAAAACATATGAAATACAAGAACAGCGTTTGTTTGTTTGTTCCTTGTGGCTTAGAATCATACTCGTAGGATACAGTATAATTAGACAAAAGGATGTATTTAGAGACTGGTCTGTGTGGTCAGTTACTATTGGTTTTTACTCAATACTTTCAGAGGCACTGCATTAAAATACTGAGAATGTGAGAAACTGAATCCGTTTCTTCTTTTATAGAGAGTAAGTCAGGGCTAAACCATAGACTGTAAATATTAACAGATGCAGTCACGCCTATCTCCGCCGTTCTAACCAATGTGCCACAACTTCCGCTGTCTATGGGCACTTTCAAAATGGCCGCGGGGGCTGGAAAATGTGAAAAAACGCATCTGGGCATGCGTCAGCCGGCAAGAGCCACATTCATTTAAATGAGTGACTTCTAAAATTCACAGCGAGTAAACTAGAGTGGTCCAAAAAAATTCACCCCCCTCAGCATTGACACACATGTGGAACGGAGCTTTGGGCCAAGAGCCAACTTTTGGTCCATCCTGTAAAGACGTTTTCCAGAGGTCTGCCAATGCTATATGTTAGTATTGGCTAATTCTTGTTCTGGGTCCACCCCCATCGGCCCGGGGTGGTATTGCAAGCATGTCAGCGCACATCATTTTGTCCACTTTTGAGCCGAGACCCGCCCCCACTGGGCTAAGCGTGCGGAAACGTCAGATGAAAGCACCCTAAATCTAGTCTTCCTGAAAATGTGAGGCTTTTTCTCTGAGAATGTTTCAATCCAGGTTAAAAACAGTTCTGTTTAGCTGCTCATTACAACTGAAGAATTTAATATATTTTTTTTTGATCTTTCTTTTTAGTACAGTGATTATTTATTTATAATTTTAATGCCTTGTGTGATTGTTTCTATCTTGTTTGTGAGTTGTTCTATACAAATAAACTTGCCTTTATACTGTATGTCCAGACCTTGGGCACAACCGTGAAGAAGAGTGTGCTGTATTTTATTGCTGTGTTATATGTTCTGTGACAAACTAAACTCCTTCTAATCTTACCTTTGACATTCCTCGAACAGAAGCGAATAAAGCATGTGCAGTCGGGAGAACGCTCTTTGTGCGAGTCATAAAAACTGGTCAACACTTGATGTCAAAGTCACACAAGCGAAACTGATGGCTCCACAAAAGCACTATCCCTCACCGTGGCTTTGGCTTCATGTCAGTTCAATTACACCGGTCGCATAAGTCACCATGGACTGGAACGATGAGTGAGACCTGGGGAGGAGTGGGAATGTGTGGTGTGTGGTTTTTTGTTTTCCTTCTTTTCCCTGTGGTTTTAGTTTGACTTCTTCTCCTGTCCCCTGTTGATTGTCTGCCCCACTCCCATGTGTTCCACCTGTGTTTCTGTGTCTATGTACCTGTGTGTCTCTGTGTCTATGTGTACTTATGTCTCTGAGTCTTTTTGTACCTGTGTCTCTGTGTCTATATGTGCCTATGTCTCTGTGTGTCTAGATGTAGCTGTGTACCTTTGTCTCTGTGTCTTTATGTACCTGTGTGTATCTGTGTCTACATGTACAGTACCTGTGTCTCTCTGTGTCTATATCTACTTGTGTCTCTGTGTCTATATGTACCTGTGTATCTCTGTGTCTATATGTACCTGTGTATCTCTGTGTCTATATGTACCTGTGTATCTATGTGATATGTACCTGTGTCTCTCTGTGTCTATATGTACCTGTGTATCTCTCTGTCTATATGTACCTGTGTATCTCTCTATCTGTGTCTATATGTACCTGTGTATCTCTGTGTCTATATGTACCTGTGTATCTATGTGATATGTACCTGTGTCTCTCTGTGTCTATATGTACCTGTGTATCTCTCTGTCTATATGTACCTGTGTATCTCTCTATCTGTGTCTATATGTACCTGTGTATCTCTGTGTCTATATGTACCTGTGTATCTCTCTGTCTATATGTACCTGTGTATCTCTCTATCTGTGTCTATATGTACCTGTGTATCTCTGTGTCTATATGTACCTGTGTATCTATGTGATATGTACCTGTGTATCTCTCTATCTGTGTCTATATGTACCTGTGTATCTCTGTGTCTATATGTACCTGTGTTTCTGTGTCTACATGTACCTGTGTCTCTGACTACATGCACCTGTGTCTATCTGTGTCCATATGTACCTATGTTTCTCTGTGTAAATAAGTACCTGTGTCTCTGTGTCTATATGTAGCTGTGTCTCTCTGCGTCTATATGTACCTGTGTACCTTTGTCTCTGTGACCATATGTACCTGTTGTGGTTTTCCTGGTTGTGTACCTATGATATGGTGCCACCACTGCTTGTTCTACTTTACACTCTTCTTTTCTTGTTCGTATCGACACAAAAGAGTTGAAAAAACGACAAGGTTCAATCCACAAGAACAGGTTTAACTGTTGTGTCACAGAACTCTCAGACTGTGCTGCTGCCTGAAGCTTTTCACCTGAGGCTATTTCTGAACACGAGCAAAAGCAGAAGAGGCTCGCGGGGCTTCGGCTCAGGAGCGGGTCTTCAGTTCGAGCTCATGAGCAGGTCTTCGGCTCAAACTCAGGAGCGGGTCTTCGGTTTGAGCTCAGGAGCGGGTCTTCGGCTGGAGCTCGGGAGCGGGTCTTCGGCTGGAGCTCGGGAGTGGGTCTTCGGCTGGAGCTCGGGAGTTGCCGGAACGTAAGGGCCGAGCTCCACCATCATGTCCCAACTGCATTGACCTGGTCTGGAGACAAAAGCACGATAAGAATCTCGATAAGTCTTTTTTTATTCTGGAAATGTTTTAGGAAAAATGATAACATTATAATTATAAATACAGGACATACATAAAGATTCACATTCATTTATTTGCCATTTTCAGTAATACCACATTGGAGTACATTTAAAAGAAGGTCTTAAGACGAGACTCGGATCTGATCATGGGGTCTGGGCTCACAGAGAAGGCTGGTTCACCTTTGAAGAACACAGAAGGTTCCACCGCAGAAATAGACAAGTGCCATTTAAAAACAAATGTCTAAGGTTTACAGGTCTTTAAAGTGCACCATCACCTTTAAGCTCCTCCCACCAACAGCGGCACACCATGAATCTATTATAATACCTGGATAGGGCTTAACTAGCTTGGAGCTGAAGAACCCACGTGCTCGGGGGATTCTCGCGGTACTGCAGACTGAACCAGACTAAGTTCACGTGGGCTACCCAGAAATTTCTCCCATAGAACTCAATGTAATCTAAAACAGCTTGACCTCAGCTGACAGAGAACCTACAGCTTTCATAAAGGTCGGATTTTGTGGAAGTTTTAGTGTCCCTTGTCATCCTGAACTTTTTTTCTTCTTAAATCCTTCGGTTTTCTTTAAATCCACACTTTAGTGCCACAAACTCTGCTCATCTGGCTCCCACTCTAACTCCCGCTCTGATGAGCAGTGGTCAGAGAGCGGCCGAGGCCCTCTGTGCACGTGCATTCAAGCCACACACGCGTATTTGGCGCAACGCATCATGGGAGTTCCTCCACTGCGCAGAACCGGGAGGACCAGAGGATGCCTAAATACAGGCGAGTTCCCATGGATCTTTGCGAGTTCCAGGCGAGTTCTGCTAATCTTTTGGCGCCCATGCCGGCACAATGGGCCAGTGAGCACAAACCATTCATTTGAATACGACGCCATCTTGGATCGCCGGGGCTTGGTTGTAGTTTGGCAATGGCGAAGAATGCGAGAGTGAAGTAATCCGGTCTGGTTCTATCAAGAAATTGAGGCCGGAGCAAGAGGAATGTTTAGAAAATGTAATCTCTGGCAAAGATTGTGGCGCTACTCTCCACGGGCTCCGTTAGCGGCAAAGGAGATGGCTAGGCTAAATGCTAACGACTTCCTCGGGCGCATTGCATACGTCACTCAGATCCAATTGTTTCAATCTGCAAAAGGAGTTAACCCCTCCCACCTGTTAACGGAGCTCAATGGAGAGCCTCCAGACCTTAGTATGAAATGTAATTTGTACTATGGTGTGGTACGACCAGGCTATGATTATACTGTTTTACTATTGACTGGTTTGCATTACTCTCGTATTGTGCAGCACTTTGGAAACTGTGTTTATGACTTGTGCTATAAAAATAAAGTGGATTGGATAGGGTTTTAAAAAATCTCCAAAATGCGTTTCTGTGTGTGTAACAGTTTGAGTCTGGTCCAAACACAGTCAGTGCATGGAGCCAAACAGACGTCATGTGCAGGTTCCCAAGCAGAGGACCACGGCCATGTGTTGTGTGTCCACTGGAAGGTTTGCCTGCTGTCTTCTCCATCTGCTCCATCTGCTCACTCTGCCTGAGTCCAGCGCCAGCATCACACCCACTGCCTCCGGAGCGGACCTATTTAGGCAAGGAGAGTTTATTTGTGTAGCACAGTTTATACACAAGGCAACTCAAAGACTGACAAATCTGAAAAGCTGCGTCCCTATGTTTAGTCCTGACTCTGGGACCAGCAGGAGGCCAGTCCCTGTGCTGCTCAGAGCCCCATGTAGCAAACCTTGTGACCTCTGTCATTGCCAACAAAACGTTTTATAACAGTATATAGTATAGAGATGGACTTTTTTTATTGACTAAATATTTATTTTCCACCATAACTTGCAAATGAATCCTTAAAGAGTCAGACAATATGATTCTCATGGTTGAGGTAAATCTATGAAGAAAAACAGGCTTCCTTTATCTCCACCCCCGCCCTCGTCAAACCGACAATTAATGAACTGAGGCCCGCAGGCTTTAAGACAGAAGGGGCGGAGCTACATTTTGTGCCTGAAGTTTTGGATGTTAGCGTGGGTAGATCTAAAAAAAAAAAAAACAGGTCTGTGATTGATGAGGAACAATGTAAAATGGTTAAATCTCTAAAAGTGTATTTGAATAATGTGTATAATTATAAAAATGACTATAAACACCTCACTATGGAAGTAGCAGGGAAAGTGCTATAGCTGACCTCAGTCCTGGATCTACAGCCTCACTCCTGGGTCTACAGCCTCAGTCCTGGATCTACAGCCTCAGTCCTGGGTCTACAGCCTCAGTCCTGGATCTACAGCCTCAGTCCTGGGTCTACAGCCTCAGTCCTGGATCTACAGCCTCAGTCCTGGATCTACAGCCTCAGTCCTGGGTCTACAGCCTCAGTCCTGGATCTACAGCCTCAGTCCTGGATCTACAGCCTCAGTCCTGGATCTACAGCCTCAGTCCTGGGTCTACAGCCTCAGTCCTGGATCTACAGCCTCAGTCCTGGGTCTACAGCCTCAGTCCTGGATCTACAGCCTCAGTCCTGGGTCTACAGCCTCAGTCCTGGATCTACAGCCTCAGTCCTGGGTCTACAGCCTCAGTCCTGGGTCTACAGCCTCAGTCCTGGATCTACAGCCTCAGTCCTGGGTCTACAGCCTCAGTCCTGGATCTACAGCCTCAGTCCTGGGTCTACAGCCTCAGTCCTGGATCTACAGCCTCAGTCCTGGGTCTACAGCCCAGTCCTGGGTCTACAGCCTCAGTCCTGGATCTAACAATCTTCCTGAAGATGTGAGACAGGTCTCCTCTCTGACAATGTTTACAACCAGGTTGAAAACAGTCCTGTTTAGCTGTGCATACAACTGAGGGATTTTATATTTGTATCTTTATTTTTAATGTACTGTGATTATTTATGATTTTAATGCTATCTTATTTTGTTCAGTACTTTGAGTTGCCTTGTGTATGAATTGTGCTTCACAAATAAACTTGCCTTGCCTTACAGCCCGTGGGAGCGGATCCCTCCCTCTATGTGGGCTTCCCTGAGGTTTCTCATTTTCTCCCACTACGTTTTTATTCGTTTCTCTGATGCAGGAGGCTCTTAGGACAGTGATGATCCAGGACACTCCACATTCAACCTCATGTATGGACATTGGTCTCCGCTCCCTTTGGACCAATGTGTTTGTTATTATTGCATTTCCTGTGTTTGAACCGTTTTAATTCTCTTTGTGAAGTCCTCAGAGATAACTACTGTTGTGATACAGGGCTTTACAAAAAAAACATTGAATTGAAAGGAATCTCTGACCCTTCATTGTTTCACCATATTGTCCACTGAACTTATTATTTCACATTCTAAAGCAAAAAGAATGTAAAACAGTCGTAAAGTTTAATTAATGTGTGATATTTTTTATTGCCAAGGGGAGCCCTGATTCCGTGACATGGACCCCTCAGAACCTGATAACAAATCCTGTCAACTCTGAGGATCATTATCGCAGTTTATTAAATGCGTCACGCAGCAGACGTCTCCAACTTCTCACTTTCGCCTCAAAACAGCGACAACAAAAGCACAACTCGTCCCACGGCTTTCAACAGATTAGGGCAGAGTCTAGGGGATTCCACTTTTAACTCTGTCTGATCTGGCGGCCCACACACGCCCACGGCCACGCACCATTTGCTTTTCAAGTCTGCGTTCTTGGATCGGCGAGGTCCTGTGCCCACGATCCCCGAGTGTGAAGAGGCTAAACAGAGCGACGGAGGCGGACGATGATTCCTGTGAGGGTTTAGTACAATGCAACCCACACTTATTCTCCTCATTCTACTTTCTGTGACTTTGTTTTTGATTCATGGCTGGGATTACCTGGAGTATCCCACTACTACTGCTACTCTATTAGCTAAACAGATAGCTAATGTAAGAGGTTTTGTACATGCCTGTTTATTATGCTAAAGTTGGAGATTTTATACTTCTTTATATTAGTATATTTAACGAGTCCAGAACAGTGGTTGTGTAAGTGTCGCAGTGAAAAGTGTCTTAGTGACATACAAATAACTATAGTAATAACAAGCATCTCTCTACAGCCGCTGTAAATGTGAGCGAAACAAATTCATCTAAAGCTAAATAAAACTCAGCTCTAAGTTCTACCACTGAACGGAGGTGTCCTTAGGATCAACTTTCTTCTGCCTGCTGTATATTCTCATTTATTTCATGTCAAGGGAGAAATTTAACGAGGACGAAATGTCATCAACTGAATCTGTCTGTGTGTGTGTGTGTGTGTGTGTGTGTGACTGTGTATGTTGTGTGTGTCTGTACTCTTGTGTATGTGTGTGTGAGTGTGCATAGACCAGACAAGTCAAACTCAGGCCCGTGGGTCAAATCCGGCCCAAGATACCATTGTTAGTGGCCCCTGAAAGTATTTCCAATTATCCTTATTACAGTAAATTGCAGCTTTGATGGTAATGGACTTCTACGGCATGTTATACTTCATTTTAAGACCCGTGATTGCATCATTGAATCTGTTCTAAAATGTCAAATAACATGTAATTAGAAGTTGGGCTAAATATGTATTTTTTATATTTCACTATGAATTTGCAATTATCTTGTATTGATATTAGGCCCAGTTGTGATTGGCTCCAAACTCTTGTCAAATAAAAGGAATTTGTCAAAATATAAAAATACATAAAACAAAATAATGATGATAAACAAAAGCATTTTTTAAACTTCTGGCCCTAAACCTGATCCACCTGATCGCGGCCTGTGGTCATACTTAACAGTTGCCAGAGACTCAGGGTTTTCTGTTGAATTGTTTTTCCCCCAAATAATGAATAATGACGGTTTTCTTTGTGCGGATGAGTCACTGGCCTTTTCCGCTCGGGGTAAAACTGTCACGACACTGGACTGAGCATTAACTTGAAGGTTTTCGGTAGGTTTTTGTGGCAGTCAAGAGCAGGCTGCGTTTATGTCACTTTATTTATCCCCGTAGGGAACCTTGTCCTCTGCATTTGACCCATCCTGCATAGTCGGTCAGGAGCAGTGGTCGCCATGGTAACTGCACCCAGGAATCATCTCCAGAGGTTGATGCTCGGTCAGGACCAGAGCTGGAGGATGTACCTGTTGTGTGTATGTGGCCTTTTCCAGTCGTGAGCACTTTCACTGCTATTTCACTGATCCGCCTCCAACGTGTGATTATTCCATAGTATTCAAAATATGCAAAGTCTTTCAAAAGTATCTGCTATAACCAAATGTCAAACTTGCTACCATCCACAATAAAAACAAGATAAAGTTTGAACCATTTAAGCGTTTACAAACCCAGAACTCATGACTGTAATGTGTAATCTTCCTTCTCTTCAATTATTTATGTGACGACTGTCGATTGAAACAGAAGCATTTTTCTCTGAGTCAGGTCTCAAAGGATCAGCACAAAGATCCTGGGATGTCACTCATGTCAGCAGCAGCAGTGACAGCGCCGACACATTCTCTCTGAGATTAAAGATGACCTATTGTTCCTTTGTCCAACCTGCTGCGTGAGACGCGATGGACCAGATTCAGGCAAAAAAGCTGAAACAAAAGACAAAAGAGTCCTGTAAATGTTACTGCAGTGTTCTGGTTTTGATCCAGAGCAGAGCAGCTGATCAAACAAAGCAGTGCCAGACCCAGTGAAAGACCCAGACCCAGAGAAAGACCCAGTGAAAGACCCAGTGATAGACCCAGTGAAAGACCCAGACCCAGTGAAAGACCCAGTGGAAGACCCAGTGATAGACCCAGTGAAAGACCCAGTGATAGACCCAGTGAAAGACCCAGACCCAGTGAAAGACCCAGTGGAAGACCCAGACCCAGAGAAAGACCCAGTGAAAGACCCAGTGATAGACCCAGTGAAAGACCCAGACCCAGTGAAAGACCCAGTGGAAGACCCAGACCCAGTGAAAGACCCAGTGATAGACCCAGTGAAAGACCCAGACCCAGTGAAAGACCCAGTGGAAGACCCAGACCCAGTGAAAGACCCAGTGGAAGACCCAGACCCAGTGACAGACCCAGTGAAAGACCCAGTGATAGACCCAGTGGAAGACCCAGACCCAGTGACAGACCCAGTGATAGACCCAGTGGAAGACCCAGACCCAGTGAAAGACCCAGTGATAGACCCAGTGAAAGACCCAGACCCAGTGATAGACCCAGTGAAAGACCCAGACCCAGTGAAAGACCCAGTGGAAGACCCAGACCCAGAGAAAGACCCAGTGAAAGACCCAGTGATAGACCCAGTGAAAGACCCAGACCCAGTGAAAGACCCAGTGGAAGACCCAGACCCAGTGAAAGACCCAGTGGAAGACCCAGACCCAGTGAAAGACCCAGTGAAAGACCCAGTGATAGACCCAGTGAAAGACCCAGACCCAGTGAAAGACCCAGTGGAAGACCCAGACCCAGTGAAAGACCCAGTGGAAGACCCAGACCCAGTGACAGACCCAGTGAAAGACCCAGTGATAGACCCAGTGGAAGACCCAGACCCAGTGACAGACCCAGTGATAGACCCAGTGGAAGACCCAGACCCAGTGACAGACCCAGTGAAAGACCCAGTGAAAGACCCAGTGAAAGACCCAGTGATAGATCCAGTGATAGACCCAGTGAAAGACCCAGTGATAGACCCAGTAATAGACCCAGTGGAAGACCCAGACCCAGTGACAGACCAAGAGGAGGACCCAGACCCAGTGAAAGACACAGACCCAGAGAAAGACCCAGTGATAGACCCAGTGGAAGACCCAGACCCAGTGGAAGACCCAGACCCAGTGACAGACCTAGGGAAAGACCCAGTGATAGACCCAGTGGAAGACCCAGACCCAGTAACAGACCCCGACCCAGTAACAGACCAGGGAAAGGCCCAGACTCAGGGACAGACCCAGTGAAAAGAATAAAGTTCTTTCAACAGTTATCGAAACCTTCTGTTGCTGTGTATTCGTCCAGACTCCAGTACAGTGTTATTCTCAGGAGGCCTCATTAATTGAATGGTCTTTCTCCGACTTCTATTTTAAGCGCAAAACTGGAGGAGGTCCCCAACAGTGGGAAATAAGAAAGAAGCAAAGAAAGCTTCGTGGACGTCCAGCACGATGTGGGCGGTGTGTAAGCCTCATTAAGCTCCACGCGGGACGCACTTTTCTGTTATTTTTATTCAGCCATTTTTTCCTAATGAGTTTCCAGTTGAAGATGTGTGTGTGGCCTCTGTCACCTGCTACTGTGAGAATGTTATGGTCATAGACTGTGGCGAGTAACACGATACAAAAGTAATGTTATTACTGTGATGTTTTACATGTTGTTGTAAGGTATTAATTAGCCTGGTCGTACCACACCATAGTACTAGATCCATATCGTACTAAGGTCTGGAGGTGCTCCATTGAGCTCCGTTAACAGGTGGGAGGGGTTAACTCCTTTTGCAGATTGAAACGATTGGATCTGAGTTTACCGTGACGTATATAATGCGCCTGAGTGAGCCGTTAGCATTTAGCCTAGCCATCTCCTTTGCTGCTAACGGAGCCCGTGGGGAGTAGCGCCACAATCTTTGCCAGCAATTACATTTTCTAAACATTCCTCTTGCTCCGGCTTCAATTTCTTGATAGAACCAGACTGGATCACTTTACTATCGCATTCTTCGCCATTGCCAACAAACTACAACCTGCCCGTTCGACGCAAACTCTTGTCGTCACCCACAACTAACTACAACACCCGCCTCTCGCGCTCGCTGATTGGTTGGATGAAATTCAACTGATTGTAATCGCAAACGTAGTTACCAGACCCAGACATTACATGCAGGGAAATGATGATTGAGCGGAGTGTACGGATGGCTACGGCCAGGCTACGCATTAATGTAATGGCATTCCAAAATATTTGACTCAAAATGTATCAGTAATGTTAAATTGTATTATAACTGAAATGAAAAGGTGTTTTGTTTTTCTCCTCTGCACCACGAGATCAGCAGGAAAATACATCTGATAGTATTTGACTAAAAGTGTTGTTCATTTCTGGTAGAAGACGGCTGAGGCTGAAGCAGAAGCACTATGTGGACAACAGTACATTTTACAGATTAACAGACTCCCTTTATTTAGAGTTTATTGTTGGAGACAAAGATGTGGAACATAACAGTTAAGTTTATGTTCAATCCAAAAACTCTATAAACCTCACGCAATAGGAGGATCTTTGAGTGACGTCGTTGTTTATAGATTTCCGTGCCGGTCATGTGACTGGGTGGCAAAACAACAGCGACTGCAACCTGGATGCTACAGAGTTAGATGGTTTTACTAAATCAAATGGTCCACTCTTGTTCTGTGGTCGGTTGTACAGCCCGATGGGGTCCAGATAAAGGATTTTTTTTAAATATATATTCTTTCGGAAAGAACAGTGAAAAACGTGACAAAGCCTGGATTCCGGGTTCAACAGAAAGAGGATGTGAGGCTCATTTTGTTAATGGTAATTGTAAAGCCTGCGTATGAGTTATTTCGAGAAGATGTAAATATATTAAAAATTGTACTATATTGTACGGTCGGATTCAGGTTTACCAAATAGCGATCCACAGCACCCAGACTATGTTTCTTATACCAAAATAATCGATGGATCTGAAAACTTCAAAGCAAAAGCAAAATTGGCTTAACAATATGAATGGAGGAACAAAAGGCAACACAAGTTGGAGATGGCTTTTACTTCTGCTATGGACTATGAAGTGGATTCAGACCCTCCTTTTGCAAACAAAAACGGTGCTAGTTGTTTAACTTTCCTTGCGTGAAGGGTCCCGGATTTTCTATTACGTAAGAATAAATGTCCCCCCAGCAGATCGGTGCCAAGAGGCGAGTCTGATCAATGTTTTTCGTCATCCCAGCTTTCATGGGTTTAGAATTTGTTCAGTTCTCTTATTTTTAGCTTATCTCTATATTTCCTCTGATCTTCTGGCATTATATATAGTGCTTATGTATAGTGCATTTCGCCCACTAACTCTTTTAAAAGTACTCGTCGCATCCATGCTTCTGTATGTGCCCTAGGTCTTCTTGCCACACAGTCAGTGGAACATAGATCCTCCTATAACATCATAAACTTCATTTAGATACTATTTGTATATTTGGGGAAAGTAGTAGTGAAATGCTTTACAATTCAGAGACAGTAATATTGTAGTAGTAACATTAGTAACCGGTGTGTTTGCTTCAGTCCACCTTCAAAACACCTTTGTTATTGGTGGTCATTGAGGCACTGAGTTCATGAGGAAATATACACACACGCTTACGTCTGTGGATAAGTGTGTCCTTGTCGTGTTAATCTTGTTTTATTTATGTGCTTATGTCTTGTGCACACTGGGGATTTTTGAAAATGTATTAAAATGTGGTTTTACTGCAAATAAATAATTTGGAATCTGTGTTACCGTTCCCGCCCCGTTTTGTGATTGTCCCCAAATCCATACAAAAATGTCAGCTTTAAATTCCAGGCTTCTGTGCAGTTTAGCCCAAGTTATTACATGTATTTGTGTATCGCCCAAAACAGTAGTTATCTCTTTACAAAGCTGTCAATTCGCCGACACAGATTAGAGAATCAAACACAGGAAATAAAATGATTTTAAAAAACACATTGAGACATTGGTCCAAGGCACTGGCCAAGTTGGTTATACCCAAAAGCACAGTCACATTTTTCACCAATTTCTGATGGCTACAACTATATAGTTCAGTCCAATTAGGAGCCGTCCATAGAGTAACTATGGTGCAATAAACAGCGCCCTCTGGTGGCTGCTCTGAGAGATGTTGCTATGTGTTTTGCCTGGTGTGAAACATTAAATAATGTAATAGTCTATGTTCTCCGGATGGCTCACTCCCCCGAGGAGAGGAGGCAAACAGACATCACACATGTGCAACGCTAAGCATTTTCTATCATATGAAACAATGTTTATTTCATGAATGAGACGCAGTCCTGCGTGAGGCTCCAAAAGGAACAAGAGAAAGAAAAGATGAGGCTTTAAGGAAGAATGGACCGAATCATTTGCTTTCACTGTCATCGAGGAAGGACTGCTGCGTGTTTGTAATGAGAAGTTGTGGAACAATAATGTTTACAGTCTATGGGAACAACAGGAAGAATAATTGGACTTTTGCATGAATGGATGTTATGTTAGATGAAACAGTTGGGAAAGAAACAGTTCTTCTGGATTCAAACTTCTGCTGCTGAAGTGTTGTAGCAACACGAACAATGAAGCGGATGATTACATGAATATGTAGAATATCAGAGAAACTAAGTATATCCTAAGTAAAACTAAGTAAATCCTTAAGAAAAGGCCATTTAAATGGCAGGTGACATCACCGATCTGCAAACACATCGCAGCCCGCGGTGAGGCCTGTGATGTCACCGATGTCGAGCAGACAGTGCTATAATGCAAGTGTGTGACAATCAGACTTATTTAATTTATTTCTACAATTTCATCAACGCATTAAATCAAAATATCAGAAAACAGAACAGTCATTATCTCCAGGAGGCACTGCAGGGAAAATAATCCGTTAATCATGAATGCATTATGTATTTGTAGGTCGTACTCAGTCATTTTGAGAATAGGCCACTCAGTACTATATACTTACACCTGTCTTGTCCAGAAAGACTTGTTTTTAGGTTTTTTTTTTTTTTTTTTTTTTGGTCAAATAAGGCCTCTTTGCTGACCCCTGCATTCGCCCACACTCCGGACCACTAGGCGGTGGTAATGTCCCCCCCCCCCCCCCTCCCTGTAAAAACCACGTAGAAGACGTATATCCAGTGACGTGGATACATGAGCTATCCAGTCAAGCAGTACATTAGACCCCCTCTCCGCTGTTACAAGTGCCAACGTTTTGGCCATGTGGCGGCAGTATGTAGAGGGGCTGAAAGATGTGGTAAATGTGGAGGAAACCATGCGTTTACTGAGTGTGAGAGTGACCAGGCTAAGTGCTGCAACTGTGGGGGCAACCACACCTCTTCATCCAGAGAGTGTAGTTTCCATCAGCGAGCTGTAGTAGTAGAGAAAGTTAGAGCAGAGGGTAAATTGTCGTATGCTGAAGCACTTAAAAAGATTGGGGAGGGTAGTTCACCCAGAGGTGTAGTCCATGCAGCTCCTGCACATAAAGCAGCAAAAATTACTGTGTCTCAGCCGTTGCTAGCCTTCATGGTGGATATTCTCTGGGCTGCAAGGAATTGTGATAGAAGATCAGATTTGATTAAGTAGTGACTGGGGCAGCAGAGAGATTTCTTGAAGGGGACAGAGTAGTGCCTGAGGATCTTTTTTACTTTATGAAACAGAGAATGGAAGGAGCTAAGGAGGGAAGGGATAGATCTCAAAGTGCACAAGCAAGTGCAGATGTCATAGTTGCTGAGGATGGAAGTATTGAGGTTAATGATGGAGGTTTTGACACCAGTTGAACAGTATGTTTCACGTCCTGCAGTGGAATGCTCGGAGTCTCTTGGCTAATGGTCAAGAGCTGAAGAGATTTTTATGTGATTTTATGCCACCTCCTGAGATTATTTGTATTCAAGAAACATGGTTAAAATCATGCTTAGATTTTGTAATTCCTACTACCACTTCCCCTCTTTGGGGGAGTGGTAGTAGGGATGTAAATGGAGGTGTTATTGAAGATTTTATGGAGTCAAGTGGGTTAGTTTGTTTGAATGATGGAAGGCCTACACGTTTTAACATCCAGTCAGGAACAGGCTCAAGTATTGATTTAGCTCTTGTGTCCAGTGGTTTGGCCAGAGTGGGAGAGTGGGAGGTTATGGAGGATAATGTTGGAAGTGACCATTGGCCTATTCTCTTGAGGTTTGGGAAACCTTTATTGAAGAGGAAGGAGCATAATCCTGAGTATTTTAATTATGAGCGGGCGGATTGGGATAAATTTAGTAAGTTATGTGATGAACGAATAGATGGAGTAATTGAGGAAGGTACACTCAGTGAATGGAATGATAGTTTGTGTAAGATTATTATGGATAGTGCGTATGAGTGTATTCCTGTAAAGAAATGTCAAAAAGAGCGTGCTAAAGTACCATGGTGGAATAGAGACTGTGAAAATGCTGTGAGGGAGAGAAAAACTGCTTTTAGAGTGCTTAAAAAATTTCCAACACAAGAAAATGGAATAGTGTATAAAAGGTTAAGGGCTTCAGCCAGGAGAATAATCAAGTCGGCCAAAAGAGAGAGCTGGAGGAAGTATTGTAGTACACTGGGAATAGAGACTTCGCTGAAAGATATTTGGAGGGCTGTAAAACGTATGTCAGGAGTTAATCGGAGAATTGACATTCCAGCTTTAGAAGACAAAGGGTCGTCAGTATCAACAGAGTGGGGAAAGGCCAGGGTTCTCCAAGATAAGTTCAGAGCAGTTCACAGTGGTGAAAATCTACAATTAGAGGACAGGAGGAAGAGAGATGTCACGTTGGAGGCAAACAGGCACAAGCTCGAAGTTAGTGATGACAATTCCGATGTGTGTAATTTGTATTTTTCCTTGGAGGAGCTGGAAAGCGCAATTGGCAAAGGGAAAAGGTCTGCTCCTGGGAAAGATGGGATTAGTTATGAGCTACTTAAAAGATTGAGTGAGAATGTGTTGTATGAATTGTTGGCTCTTATTAATAATGTTTGGGAGCAGGGGAAGCTTCCGTCAGCGTGGAAGCAGGCAGTAGTCGTGCCTATCCTTAAACCTGGAAAGAAAGCGTCTGAGGCAGGCTCATATCGACCAATTGCTCTAACCTCTGTTTTGTGTAAGGTGATGGAAAGAATGGTTACTAACAGGCTTGTCTATAGACTCGAAAGGGAGGGCAAACTATCACCTGTGCAAAGTGGGTTTCGAAGAGGTCGGGGTACTATGGATTCTGTCCTCAGCCTGGATTGTGACATAAGGAAGGCTTTGGTCAATAAGCAAAGTTTGGTGGCTGTCTTCATAGACATTGAAAAAGCCTATGATATGTTATGGCGTGATGGCCTGGTGATTAAGCTCTATGACAGTGGTATTCATGGACGTATGCTCAACTGGATTCAAAACTTCCTTTGCAACAGAGTGATCCAAGTCAGGGTGGGGAAGGTCTTTTCTGAAGGGACAGAGATTGATAATGGTACACCACAAGGAAGTGTGATCAGTCCAATTTTATTCAATGTTATGGTAAATGATATTTTTAACTCTCTAGGTCCTTCATTTGGCACATCTCTCTTTGCAGATGATGGAGCTATTTGGAAAAGAGGAAGAAACGTAGGATATGTGGTAGGGCAAATGCAGGCAGCTATTAATAGAGTGGTGCAATGGGGGCAGGATTGGGGTTTTAGAATTTCTGTTGAGAAAAGTAAGTTTGTGATTTTTGGAAATAAAAAAGTGGGCAGTCAGAAATTGACGCTGTATGGGCAGCAAATTGAAAGGGTGAGGGATTTTAAATTTCTTGGAGTAATCTTTGATGAAAAGGGTCTGTGGAAAAAGCAAATTGAGAATGTTATAGTGAAATGTGAAAAGGTGATAAATGTGATGCGGGCGTTGTCAGGGAGTTGTTGGGGGGCTCTGAGAGAAACTCAAATGCTCATTTATCGGGCAATGGTGAGGTCAAGGTTGGACTATGGGTGTTTAGCATATGGTAGCGCAGCAATGTCGCATTTGAGTAGACTGGATGTTGTTCAAGCGAAAGCACTAAGGGTTTCTTGCGGAGCCTGCAGGTCTTCTCCAATTCCTGCACTCTTAGTAGAGGTGGGGGAATTACCATTAAGAATAAGACGAAACAAACTAGCAATGCAGTACCTGGTTAAACTAAGAGCTTTTACTGGGGACTTTCCAGCGAAACAGTTGCTAGATCCATCATGGGAGTTAGGAGCAAAGAGGAACTATGAACCTTTTGTTGTTACTGTGAGCAAAGAAATTGAGAAGTTGAGATTTAGAGAGGTGGGGGTTGCCCCTCAGCTGTTATGGCCAGCCATTCCTCCTTGGACATTACCATCCCCTGATATTGACATGTCAGTGTTAGAAGGTAAAAGGGGAAAAAATGATCCTGAATATTGTAACCTTGTAGAACAGGCGTTGGGAGGGAGATGGGAAGGCCATTTGCAGGTTTATACAGATGGCTCAAAGGAAAAGGAATCTGGAAGGACGGGGTGCGCCTTTTTTGTGCCTCAATTAGATGTGGTTTTTAATAAGAGACTGCCAAATGAGATGTCTGTGTACACTGCAGAAAATTAAAGCGATAATATGTGCTCTTCAGTGGGCAAAGGCCACTAAACAAGGTCAGATTGTAGTATGTTCAGACTCAGCGGCTGTGTTAAGCTCTATAGGTTTCGATAAAGGCAATGCCAGGCCCGATCTAGTGATCGAGTTGCTGACTGAAATTTCTGAGATTGAGAAAGCAAAGGGGTCTGTGGGTTTCCTCTGGGTCCCGGCTCATGTTGGTGTATGGGGCAATGAAGTTGCAGACAATGCGGCAAAACAGGCATTGAAAAAACCTTTAGAGTGTAGTTTAGTGCCAGGGGTGCTTGAGTGGAAAGCTAAGATTAAAATCCATAGTACAGCTGTTTGGCAAGCAATTTGGGATGGGGACAGCAGGGGGCGACACTTATACGCTATCAATCCCTCTGTTAAATGTAATCCTATAATGTGTGTTAAGGATAGAAGGAGTGAGGTCATCCTTACCAGGCTGAGATTAGGGCATTGTGGGCTAGCGTGGGACAGATTTATAGTGGGGAAACATCAAAGTGGGTTATGTGCACACTGTAACAAGAATGAGACTGTGAGTCATGTATTCATGGATTGTCCAGTATATTCTCATCAGCGAGCCGTGCTGAAGGAGGTTATGTCAAAGGTTTCTATGGACTGCAATCTGAAGTCTCTTCTGAGTCCAGTTAGAGAGCAGAATCTGGTTGTGAGAGCGGTCTTGGAATTTGTACGAGCAGCTGAGCTGCATATCCTGTTATAGAGGATAGGCTTGAGCCTATTCTTTATGGAAGTTGTTGTAGTGCACAAGATGACCAGGAAAGGCAGCAATGCGCGATGAGGCGCCAAGTCTGCCGGAAATTAAAAGAAGAAGAAGAAGTATCCAGTGACGTCACAGACTGCGGAAGAACATGGAGGACTTCTGCAACCATTCTTCGTCTGTAAGTGTTTATTACACATTACAGATTAGATTCAACGTTATTGTCATTACAAAGTCACCACAATGCAATCAAATGCAGTTTTGCAGTAATGCAAGAGCCTAAGTTTATGATCATATTTATACACAACCCAGAGAAATATATATGTATATGTGCGGGACTGTACAGGGCTGCTATCGCTATGCTGTGTACATTACATACATTACATACATTACATTACATTACATATGTCTAAAGTACTTTTACAGGGTGAGAGTTCAGGAGTGTGTTTATCCTCTTTGTGTTTATTCTCCTTTATTACACATAATAATGTCATGTATTTATCACACAATAATTGTATGTATTTGATGGAAGAGAGTGTATGATCCACTAGAGCTACAGCTAAAATCTGGAACAGTCTTCCTGAAAATGTGAGATTATGAGTCAGACAATGTTCAAATCCAGGTTAAAACAGTTCTGTTTAGCTGTGCTATAACTGGGGGATTGTATAGTTCTCTCTAAAAAGTACTCTTTCATTTTCTTGTGATTATTTAATGCCTTGTGATCTTGTTTTGTTCAGAAACAACAGTTAATTACTTGTGTATGAACTGTGCTATACAAAATAACTTGCCTTGCCTTGGATGAGGGTGTTGGGGTTAGAGGGTTAGGGCGTTTAGTGGTGGTAAATAGTAGCTTTGTATCAAGTCAGAAACATCTTAAGTCGATATCAGCATGTTTATTATTAATGGGCTGTGCTAGATATTTGTGGATGTTAACCGCAAGCCTAGGCAAAGATCCAGATCAGCCTCTACGGGAAATCACTGAGAATCATTGACCCAAATAATATACGATGCATTTGTCTCTCAAGTGTTTTGTTTTGTTTCTAAACTTCTGTTGGATTCACTGATCTGTTTTAGGCAAATCGAAAACTCTGTAAATTGCTGTTGTGATTCAGGGTGGTACTAGAGTTTGTGTAGAGTGTTTGTGTAGAGGGTGTGTGTTTGTGTAGAGAGTGTGTTCCCTCTGAGATCCCTAAAGCGTTTCTGAATCTGAACTTGTGGTCACAGCTTCAGGGCGATACAGAAATACAGCTCAGAGCTGAGACGCATGGTTCAGACAAAATAGTCAGGGTCAGGGTTATAACAGTTATACAGTAGTACAGACCAAAAGTTTGGACACACTTTCTCATTTAACGAGTTTCCTTTCTTCAGTCGGAAACTCACTGAACCCAATCCAGATGGTTTTGGGGTGAGCTGGACCACAGAGTGAAGGCCGAAGGGACCAACAAGTGCTAAGCATCTCTGGGAACTCCTTCAAGACTGTTGAAGACCATTTCAGGTCACTACCTCTTGAAGCTCATCAAGAAAATGCCAAGAGTGTGTGAAGCAGTAATCAGAGCAAAAGGTGCTACTTTGAAAAACCCAGAATATAAATTATATTTTCAATAGTTTTGATGCCTTCAGCGTGAATCTACAATTTTCATAAATCATGAAAATAAAAAACTCCAAACTTTTGGTGTGTATATGTACGTACATTATATTTATTTAAGTATGTATACTAAAGAAAAATATTTATATATTTATTTAGTGTACAGTACTTTGTTGTGTGCAGCGTCCATGTTCCGTGTGAGGAGCGAGCAGGAGGAGGAGCACAGTGAGCAGATCTCGTGGCTGCGCAGCGCCGCGCTGCAGGGCGATGCGCAGCTGTTGGAGGCCATGCTGAGCCAGGAGATCTACAGGCGGCTGCTGAACTGCCGCAGCGGATGGGGCGTGGCGGGCACTCCCCTCCACGCCGCCGCTTCCCGGGGACACGCTGGCTGTGTGCGCGTGCTGCTGGCTCACGGCGCGCTGGTCGACAGCCTGGACGTCAAAGCGCAGACGCCGCTGTTCACCGCAGCGCGAGGGAAGTATCTGCGCTGTCTGCTGCAGCTACTGTGCGCCGGCGCTGACCCCAACGGCAGCTCCTTCAACCTGTGCTCCCCTGTGCTGACGGCGGCAAGGGAGGGGGATGCCGACGTGCTTCGCATACTGCTCCAGTACGGAGCCGAGGTGCGTGTGTGTGTGTGTGTGTGTGTGTGTGATGGTATCGCAATGTTTGGGCCATGATTCCATAATACGGTTATATACAGCTCTTTTCTGGACTCTCTCTCTTGCCTAAGGACACAACCACAGCTATGGGAACACCCAGTGTCATGGTGGGGCGGCTGCGGCTGTAAAGTGCTAAACTGTGGTTGTGTCCTTAGGTAAGATATTTCATCCACATTAGAATGAGTCCAGGTGTGGGGCAGAACTGGCCATCAGGCGTATCAGGCAATGCCCGAAGGGCCTATGCCAGTATTTGGGCCGTTCTGCCTGCCTCATATAAAAACTAAAAATGTAATTTTTGTGAAATGTGTACATCCTTTGAGAAAGGTTTGATCATGGGGCACTTGCTGTTGTTTGCTGTACGTACTCGAACGGGATTCCTTATCCTCCATAGCCTAAGCGTTCTGACCCAGGGCAGCTGTGGCCACTTTGTAATGACAGCGGTCTGTGAGCAGCTTTGCCTAACCTGTGCATGCAATAAATACACCACTGCAAGAAATAGAGCTGGATTATAGGAGCCTCAGAAAGTGTCCGTGTCTCCTCCCGTCTCCTCTCGAAGCGCAACTGAACTCCCTAAATTAAAGCTGGGGTACCTACATTTTCCCTTGCATTAACAGCTCATGTTGGTTGTGCTCAAAAGTAAAATGTTGTGAACAAACCAAACAGATTTAATGACATTCTGCAGTTCAGACTTTTTTGAAATGTCCCGTTCTCATAGTTTTGGTCTGTGGCCATCCCCTCACTCTGAGTAGTGACATGTTTATTACTCTCTAGTAATGTAGCATTGCACTTCATTTTATTGGTTGAAGCTGCATACATCCTCCGCAGTATGTGGTTCTGCATACCGTATAAATAACCGTGACTTTTTGCCTCCTTGACAGAGGAATATGCCTGGGCCGTTGTCTGGTCTCAGTCCAGACCTGAGTGAGTCTGGTGTGTGTGTAAATGGTTGGTGATGGTGGGAGGGGCTGATGGCACAAACTGGTAGTTTATCATGTGTTTGGAGTGGTCTTTGAGCATCTAGAAAACCACTGTATAAAACCGATGCTTTATTATTATTTTGAACTGTGCCATAGAAATAAACTTGCCTTGTGTGTGCACGTAGGTGAACGAACTCTCCAAAGTGCTGGTGCTCAGCTCTGTGGCCTCGGTGTGCAGTGGGCCGCTGTACTTGGCCGCAGTGTATGGTCACAGGGACTGTTTCCGGCTGCTGCTGCTGTACGGCGCGGACCCCGACTATAACTGTGTGGATGCGCTGCTGATGCGGCTGCGGCAGCGGCGCACCGTGCTGGAGATGTGTCTGCGTCACGGCTGCGGCGCCGACTACGTCCAGCTTCTCATTGACTTCGGCGCCAACGTCTATCTGCCCACACTGATCATAGAGAAGACCACCAAGCAGAACGAGGCGCTGGAACTGCTGCTGAGGGAGAGAGGTACAAAGGGGGGGACACAGAGATAGAGAGAGAAAAGAGGTACACACACAGAGGGAGAGAAGGGTAAAGACACGCACAGAACGAGGCCCTGACCGATGTCCATAAAGCTTAATAAATGTTGTTGAATGTGTCCTGGATCATCACCAGTTTCTCCCATAAAATGTCTTGGACCTAAATCCTCATGTGTTTTCAGGGACCCCCAAGAGTCTGACGTCTCAGTGCCGTCTCGCTCTCCGCAGACACCTCCGCAAGATCAACAAGATCCACCTCCTGGACCAGCTGGACCTGCCCCAGAGCCTGCTGCTCTACCTGCAACACCTGCCTCCACCAGTGCTCCCAGTGCTCTGAGGCTCACAGGGACTGGGACCATGTGGCTTGAAATCTGAAACTGAAAACTGAAATCATCAACTCGGCTGCAGATTTTGACTCAAATTTGAGAAAGAAATCCATAAATTGTACAAAATGACTATATATTAGGCAGAAGAGTTGCAATAAGTCCCAGAGCTGTAGATCAGGGGTCTCCAACCTGTTTCCATCAGAGAGCTACTTTTATACAAATGACAGAGAGTGACTTCTTTAGCAGCCGTAATACAATCGTGGACTAAATAATAAATAATTAAATATCACCGAGAACACACACATTTGTATAATATTCAAATACACTACAGTATCTCTGCATTCATGATGGATTTAAGATTAAAATAGATATAATGACTGCATCATTCAGGATCATGTGTTATGTTCTTGAATCCTTTGGGAGGCTACCTGAGAGGCAGGGAGCTACTGGTAGCTCCTGAACCAGAGGTTGAAGACCCCTGCTGTAGAAGGACAGAGTCTGAGGTGACGGTGCTACAGGGCTGTCCATGTTTGGAAGTCTGAGTTTTGTTACACACAGAAATGATGGAGGATGTATTGATACAGAAATGTGTCAACTTTGTGCCATCAGAAAAATTACAAAACAGCAAAAAAGATGGTGGTGAACGGGTCAAATGCGAAAAGGACGAAATGATGGCAAAGAAAATCAACAGACAACACATTGTGAGCTCACTATTGCATTTACTCGTCCCTTAACAATGCATTGATATAGTGAAGTAAATCCAGGCCTAAATCCATGATGCTTTGCTACTTTTAAGTCTGATGGAATCAATTCAATGTATTTGTGTATTGCCCTAAATCACTGTTAGGACTTTACTTCAGGCTACCTGCTCAGAAAGGGTGGTTGTCAACGGTTTGTGTTTACCCTTCTGTAACTAAGGTGTATTTCATCGTATGTTAAATGTTTAAGGCAGAGTTGTCCAAACCGGTCCAGAAAAGGCCGCTGTGGCTGCAGGTTTTCTATCAGACCCAGGAGCAGAGCAGACTCCTCCCATTTCCTCAAGTAAGCTCAGTCTTTACCTGAAGATTTGAGGAAATGGGAGGAGTCTGCTCTGGACACCTCTGTTTTAAGGGATTTGTTTACATCAGTATGATTTATTATAGAGAGAGTATCCTTTTTTAATTGTGAATAATCGTAAGATCTTTTAAATTGGTGATGTGGACTATACATAGACTGTTGTCCAAGCAAAAAGAATAATGAAAAGTGTATTTATTTATTATCACCTAGAAGACTCATCACATTTAAAATTGTATTATCAGTTTTAAAACATAACTTTTTAAGTCTTAACATTTAACAAATACTGTTCTCAGTTTTGCCTTTTTCACACTGTTACACTGTGACTCTCTCTGATCTGACCCGAGTCTGATGTTTAGTTGATAACATTCCTCTCCCCTCAGTAATGTCACGTGACTCTGTCTGAAACAGCTGTCGTGTTCAGAGTGTAGGTGCACAGACCGAGCAGCAGGGGGCAGCAGAGTCCATGAAATGACAATAAACAGAATCTCAAAATCGCTTTTTATTTGTTTTCTGCAGTTGTGGTCGAGGAACTACGGTCAATTTACAACAAAATACTCACAGAAAGTTTGCACATAACAAAATCTATTTTAAGTTAGAATGAAGATTAAGAGATTCTTTATCGGTCCTATAGGGGGGAAATGTCAGTGTTGAATCACCAGTTACAGAACAGTAGGAATGAGGAGTACACAGCACGAGATAAATGAACAATCTTTACTATAATAAAATAAAATAAAAAGCAGGAGTGAGGTTGTAGATCCAGGCTGAGAGGAGGATTCACAAAACCCCCAGACATAAGAATAAAATATATCTTTGTGAATCCAATGACTTGGAAAACATTTGGACATTTTTTTTTTTTTTATTTTTTTTTTTTTCAACAGCTTCTTCAACTGAAACAGATTTCTAAAACATGAATGCAACTTATTGCCACATTTCAAATCAAATCCATTCACCAACTTTTAAAATACTTTATTATTTTTCTTCCACAACAAAATGGTACAAAAAGCTTCAGAGACACTTTAGCAACAGCCTCCGTGTTTTAAGCCTGTCACCATATTTCTGTTTAATCGTTTAAATATTTGATTTTAATTCCATGTACATTTCCATGCTACACAATTCACCATTCACTCCAGCTTTTCCACTGATTTTTTCCAAATGTAAAGTCACTGTGAAGCTGGAGAAAAGTCTGTTTCGCACAGATCACAACATCGAGACAGAAGGAAAGACACGGGAATTCTTCATTAATTTCTTCATAAAAAAACAACAATTTGAAAAACAACAATTTACATGAATAATAGAATTAAATTAGAAATAAAAGCAGGGTATTGATGATTTTGTCTCTTAACAGACCTGGATCTACAGCATCAGTCTTTGGCACTTTTACAGCAAACTGCATCTCAACCATTTGGTAAAGGCCTGTTATTTAAAAAAAAAAAAACTGTTTAATTAGCGTTCTAAATCTTTGAAAATCCAAAATAGAAAAAATACTTTCTTTAGGAGTGACTGTTGACATAAATATGGGATTGGATTCACCTTTTCATGCACGGGTCAAACTGAAACGTACAATATTGTTGATTATAGTTGATTTATTCAATATTTTCTTTTTGTAACTTCAACTGTAAAAACATGAATATAATGATCCAGACAGATCACAGCAGACTAATGTCTCTGAGATTTCTACAAACTGTGAATCATATCAACATTTGAACAAAGGTTAGTCTCACTCTGGTCCTATTCTCACAGGATCAGTCTCACTCTGGTCCTATTCTCACTGGATCAGTCTCACTCTGGTCCTATTCTCACAGGATCAGTTTGTCTCACTCTGGTCCTATTCTCACTGGATCAGTCTGACTCTGGTCCTATTCTCACAGGATCAGTCTCACTCTGGTCCTATTCTCACAGGATCAGTCTCACTCTGGTCCTATTCTCACAGGATCAGTCTCACTCTGGTCCTATTCTCACAGGATCAGTCTCACTCTGGTCCTATTCTCACTGGATCAGTCTCACTCTGGTCCTATTCTCACAGGATCAGTTTGTCTCACTCTGGTCCTATTCTCACTGGATCAGTCTGACTCTGGTCCTATTCTCACAGGATCAGTCTCACTCTGGTCCTATTCTCACAGGATCAGTCTCACTCTGGTCCTATTCTCACAGGATCAGTCTCACTCTGGTCCTATTCTCACAGGATCAGTCTCACTCTGGTCCTATTCTCACAGGATCAGTCTCACTCTGGTCCTATTCTCACAGGATCAGTCTCACTCTGGTCCTATTCTCACAGGATCAGTCTCACTCTGGTCCTATTCTCACTGGATCAGTCTCACTCTGGTCCTATTCTCACAGGATCAGTTTGTCTCACTCTGGTCCTATTCTCACTGGATCAGTCTGACTCTGGTCCTATTCTCACAGGATCAGTCTCACTCTGGTCCTATTCTCACTGGATCAGTCTGACTCTGGTCCTATTCTCACAGGATCAGTCTCACTCTGGTCCTATTCTCACAGGATCAGTCTCACTCTGGTCCTATTCTCACAGGATCAGTCTCACTCTGGTCCTATTCTCACAGGATCAGTCTCACTCTGGTCCTATTCTCACAGGATCAGTCTCACTCTGGTCCTATTCTCACTGGATCAGTCTGACTCTGGTCCTATTCTCACAAGATCAGTCTCACTCTGGTCCTATTCTCACAGGATCAGTCTGACTCTGGTCCTATTCTCACAGGATCAGTCTCACTCTGGTCCTATTCTCACTGGATCAGTCTGACTCTGGTCCTATTCTCACAGGATCAGTCTCACTCTGGTCCTATTCTCACTGGATCAGTCTGACTCTGGTCCTATTCTCACAGGATCAGTCTCACTCTGGTCCTATTCTCACAGGATCAGTCTCACTCTGGTCCTATTCTCACAGGATCAGTCTCACTCTGGTCCTATTCTCACAGGATCAGTCTCACTCTGGTCCTATTCTCACAGGATCAGTCTCACTCTGGTCCTATTCTCACTGGATCAGTCTGACTCTGGTCCTATTCTCACAAGATCAGTCTCACTCTGGTCCTATTCTCACAGGATCAGTCTGACTCTGGTCCTATTCTCACAAGATCAGTCTCACTCTGGTCCTATTCTCACTGGATCAGTCTGACTCTGGTCCTATTCTCACAAGATCAGTCTCACTCTGGTCCTATTCTCACAGGATCAGTCTGACTCTGGTCCTATTCTCACAGGATCAGTCTGACTCTGGTCCTATTCTCACAGGATCAGTCTCACTCTGGTCCTATTCTCACAGGATCAGTTTGTCTAAATGACTCCTGTATTTGTCCAAACCCAGACCGTTGTGATCCTGATCCAGTGAATCCATGTCTCACTGACTTGTTGAAATCGTTGCCTTTTCTACTTTCTGTTGTGTTTTCTGTCAATATCTCGCTCCTTTTCATATTTTCAGAGTTGAACAATGGAGGCTGCGGTAGAAATGTTGGTGTCATTTTTAACTGATTTTTTGTAACAAATGATAAGACTGCCCCGAATCACAGCATGAAACTGGTCCACAGAACGATAAGATCCAAGAGGAGACTCACAAGACGTAGGTCCGACATATTTCACAGCAGGAGCTAAGAAACATGAAATATAATCATAACATATAACTAGCATAAACAGTTGAACCTGACAAAATCTCACAACAAACAGACATAGTTAATCTTTTACTTGTTACATTGTACAAGGAGAATGTCTTGAAAGAGCAAGGCACAGAGCCCGACCTCGCTCAGGAACAAATCTGATGCTCCTTTCATAGTAGAGGACACACCTTCATGATGGGAAAGGAACCAACAGAAAACAAAAGGACAGTGTGACGAGGCCTTCTCCATTAGCATCCTTAACGCCTGCTTCCTCCTGGCATTAACACTCGACTCCCCATTCACTCGGAGTCAACACTGGATTACAAAACAGACAGAATATTATCAGCCACATATGA